CACGTATCATTCACGGTTAGTAATTAATAAAATGATTATAAAAATGATTAATCTTCATTAAATGTTATTAAACCCGTCCTAACGGCACAAAAATAACCAATAGTTTTGATTTTTAAATTAAAAAAATCATTACAAAGATAGGAAAATTGCGTGGCATCAACCATCGTGTTTTTTTCCTTCCTTCCACTAAATTACAAAATTACTTGAAATACGCAAATATTCCATTTAACTGTTTTAATGATATTTGAAGGTATTATTATTATTATTTTCTTGGTTTTTTTTTTATTTTATTTTAAAAGTTTTAAGCTTTAAAACTGTATAAACAGACAAAGAATAAAGCGTTTTAATGAATCAATAACAAGAGAGAATTTCATTCATAATCGTGTTTAAGAAAAAAACAAGAATGAAAGGGAAATATTCTTTGTGACTTTTGTATATTTAAAGTTAATTTAATATCTTAAATAAACAAATATTTTTTAAAAACATCGACGCGTTATAACGTTTGAAAAAAAATATAGTCTATAAAAAGCGTCATTTATTTACAATGTTGCAAAAACTCTATTGTTATGTCACAGAGGAAGATCGTGTTAATTCTATGATAGATGCGCGTGTCGCCTACAAAATTGTTCAATATAAACAGATGTTGAACACATGAAACACAAACAACTCCTTCTGTCACCTTTTGTTAGAAGTTGACATCAAAGACAGGCCCCAAGGGCTCTTCGGGACAGGTGAGTGGGCGGGGTTTACACCCCGTGTCGGAGGAAGAGCGTATACGCCCACTTCTCTGTAATAGGGCGTGTAGTTCCACATCCGGGTCCAATCACCTGTGTCGTGGCATTCCTTCGCTGCTACCTGGAGACCAAAGGTGATTTGATTGGCGAGGAATTCTGCGGTGTCGGCGCTCGTTTCGATAATACCTCCGACGTCACGCTCGATTCTACGAAACGTGACGTCAAGCGCCGAAATTACACCAATAGGACTCTTTCTCGTCTAATTATTTACATTCCAATTTTTTTCTGCACAGGGATATTTTAGTGTCGGCCATTTTAGCATCGATTTAATAAGCGTAGATTAAAGCATTTAAATTTTAGTAATGAAAAAATTTATATTCGTTCGTAAGCATTCTAATGGACGAAGTAGTCGAACTCTTTAAAAAATTTCATACATTTTTTATTACTTAATGAAATGTAGAGTTGTATAAAACAAAATAGAAATTTAAATAGTGCTTTGTCTTTTAAAATGTCTAAAACAAAAAAAGAAATTTATAAAATGTCTTTCTTCGGAAGTTCAGAATTAGATATTAAGCAAAATTCATAATATATTTTGCCACATAACGAATTTTTCGGAATATTTTCTTATTATACCATCATTAAAGCTCACTTTTCATAACCCAAAAGTAACATAAGAATAATTTATATACGTTGATGAAGCGCAAACATAGAAATTGATTAACTGTTTACACAACAATAAAATAATAAAAACCGAGGATCTATCAACAATCCGAAGCTATGAAATGGCAGGCCTTAAATTGTACCACTGTTTTCTCTAGTAATTCGATAGGCAAGTGTCTTGTGTATCCATTGTACACATGCATTCATCACTGGCGAATTTGAAAAACTGGGTTTTGTAGTCAAATTCTGTTGGATCCTTGACTTTTTTCAACTCGTAATACAGAATATGCTGTTATAGAGTGAATGGTTATTTTCAAGTAAGCGTTAAGAAATAAGTAAATTTATGCACATGAAGATAATTTATGGTGTAAAAATTTATATTTTAAAAACTCGTTTAAGGATTATTCGTGACTCCATCAAGCAATGCAGAGAACAGACAACAATAAACCCATTATTAAATCCATTCTTGGATTAAGTTCTATCTGCATTATGTAGCTCCTTTGTATAAATAAATAACAAAAGGCTAAAGTAAAGTATCACGTGGTCCGAGTAGTGACAGCTCGGTGAATAATCGACTCTACTCTAAGATTAATAACTGGAAATATTATTCTGCTTGTCAAAACTTCCAACGTGGTAGAAATAATGATCTTTTTCTTTTTCCTTCTTTATTTCTATCTGTATCATATTGTGCGTGACGCTCTCTATATATAAAGCCTAAATATTAATTGAAGCCCGCTAAATCGTGTAATAATAATAGAAGTCGCCCGATAGGAGAACGTGTTAAGTGAAGAACTTAAATGTAGACATTTGAAGACCTCCCAAATACGATGTTTCTAAATCCCTTTTACAGGTCACGGATTATAAATTTCCGAGTTTCTCCATAGGGAATACATCGCTAGAAATGCTCGACTTAACAAAATCAACGTTGCTCTTCATGTTTGTTTGCTTTTTATCCAACTCGAATACGTGATTTTAATGCTTGACTTGCAATCTACAGGAACTCGAATGCGTTACGAAACGTATTTATCCCGATCGGTTCGTCTATTTCTTTAGGAAGGAAAGCTTTATAATTTGTGGGATTAGCATCTCTTTTATCCGTCAGTGACGCTGTTTATAGTATCAAAATCCATACTTCCTGGAAAATGGGGAGTTAGGTCGGAATTACAGTTAATCATGACCCAGGCGCCATGGCTTGTCAATGAAACGTTTTTGACCGGATCCTGTCATTACAGGAGACGTGCGGTCAGTCCACAAAGAAGACCGACTTCACTACTTGGGGAGTCATAACACAGGTACCGAACTCTATTAGTGGGAAAGCGTTTACGGGCCTTCCTGTATGCTCCTTTTCTAACTTGTGGTTAACTTCACCGGGCCTTAAATAAAGGTTACGTGTCACTGTTTGTGCCAGTTGAGGGATGCGAGTTCAAAACTAGGAAAATTAGCGTAATTAGCAGGCTTATTCCTCTTCCAAAACTTGTTGTGTGGGATGGCTTTCTTCTTTTCGTCCCCTGACAGCCTCTCGTGTTTACCGCTCTATGCCGTAAACAGAATGCATTGGGTGGCCAAATTATACTCCAACGTAAATTATTATTATTATTAATAGAAATAAAAATGCAATGTTATATCGTAGTTTTTTTATAAATAAGAATTCATTGTCGTCAATGTGTAATCGTAAATTTCCAGTATAATCGGTATAGAGTGGCTTTCAAACGAGTAGTGCCATCTATCGATAAGAAAATTGTTATAATTAATTACAAATTCGGATAAGAGATGGCAGCATGAACGAATTTTTAAATATTTCAAATTTGACGCATTTATATATCAAATTATTTCATTGGTTAAAGTTTTAAGTGTTGCCATTACGACCAGAATTTTTTTTCTCCTCCCAAATTTTTTTTCTTTGAATCACGAATTCATATTAACATTCCCGACGGTGGTGAAAATATCACGGTAAAACTAACATCACCTCGATCCTATATAATAGGAGTTATACCGAAATGACAGTTTATTAGAAATAACTGCGTACGACTTTCTAACGACCAGAGATGAAATGACAGGCGAAACACCAAGATAAGGAAATGTGTGCACGATTTCCTTTCTGGCCTAACTCTAATAACAGACTAAACTATTATAAGGTGGACAGTCGGGGCGGTAAAGGGGAGAAGTTGTCATTTGACCCAACCTTCTGGGTATAGGTAATCCTTGTCTCTGAAAATTATATCCATGCCGCTACAAAATGATTGGTTACACCCGGATCTGAGTTCGGTTTGACGGTCTCCCCGTTTCTGCCTTTGTAATAAGTTTGTAACGGCATATCTTCGGAATATCCTCCTGTTTTCTTAATTAATATTAAGATTTGTTCGGCATCTATTATTTGGTCGTCGTAGCCGAGACTTAATGGTTTTGTATAGCTGATGGAATTTTGATTCCTTCCTCCTATGTCCCCGATACATTACGGGATTCACAGCTTTCTTAAGTACATCTGCACGAGAAACAGATCTAACTCTTCATCATATTTACCTTACTATCCTCAATTTTCTCCGCCTCTCGTTCCTATTTTTCTCTGTTCTATGTCCCATTACAATTTCTTTTTTTCTTACACTAAGCACTAGCGTTTCGACCTTTGTAGGGAGGGACTTATATCATCTTCCACACGTTTCTTTCCTTGACATTCCGGATTTCTCTCATCAATATTCTCACCAGAATGCTTTTCTCTCGAAAGCTTTTAAAGATTTTCTAGATTAATGTCTACAAATCCTATTTACGGACAATTGAATTGTCGACGAAGCACTTTCATTTCTATATAATGCATCCGGACAATTCCAAATTTTTGTCATTTAAGACTTATCACACGAATCATCACAATCCGATAACTTATATATATAGGCCTATAGCCTATATATTTTTTTTTAACGTAAAATTTTCAAAATGAATCATCTCAAAGACATTAATAAAACATGTAATTTTTATTAATTTTTTCCAGAATATTTCAAACACGCATATTAAAAAAATTCTTCAAATAAATTCCGTATTCAACTTCACTTTTAATATTCTGTGAAATTTTTAAAGGAGATCTTTTGTTTATTTATTTTGAGCAGTTTTTTCTTCTTCTTTAAGGTTAAAAAGTTTCTCGATCGTTCCTTTTATATTTATTATGTGCTACGAAGTTTTTACTTTTTTGTCATCTTAAGGTTTTTTAACGCACTTTTCGAGTGCTTTTGATGATCTAAATGTGCCCGACATTTTAAAAGGACGAATAGAAAAAAGATTGTGCTGTAAACAATAGTTAGGAAAAAAGATAAGAGGAAAAGAATTTGCGTAATTATATATATATATATATATATGTATGTATGTATATAAATATATACACAAAATGTATAACGTCTTTTACCCTCTTACGTGACCAATCACTATTGCCGTTATAGATTAGTAAGATTTGTGTGAGATAAATAATAATAATGGAAAAATGCATAAAGTGTGAGTGGGTTGGTAAAGTAAGTTTTCGGTCACACATCTCGCCAGAAAACGGTGTGGTTTTCTTCTACAAAAACTTCCAATTTTTGTCGGTAGATGGCGACACCAACCACAGCGAGGAACATTTTATTGTTTTTTTTTATCTCTTCACTACCTGTTACTTTTGCTGCTAACGCTGCTGTCGATATGAAAACACTGCTGTAAAAATTCTTCCATAGTCCAATAGAAATGCTTTCTAACGTTTTTCAAATCGTGGTTTTCATCTGGATACAACTAGAGGGAGAAAAATAGTATAAGAAAACGGAAAGATATATAAATAATTTATTGACTTTTAGTATATTACCTGCGAACGGAAAGTTACTCCTTCCCTAGATAACGCTTTCATTAACATCATGGAATGTTGCAGATGAATGAATTCTAAATTTAAAAATAAATAAATAAATAAGGTTTTATATTAGTAACATTTAAAGAAATCAGATGGCGCCAGTGTAGAATCGACCTTTTTTTTTCTTTTGTTGACGTGTATTGTGATTGATATTTAGGTTATCGGTTGCGTAACTATCGCATTTACAATTTTCGAATAGAAAGACGAAAAAAGAAAGGAATTTGAGCATACCATCGGCCGTGCCGTGAATTAAGAGGAACTTTTTTCCTTTAAACAGATGCGCCTTTCTGGAAATGTCAGTCTTTTCGTATCCAATAAGATTTCCGGGAGATTTCGGCATTTTCATGTATCTTTCCGCGTAGAATGCATCTGCAAAGCGACATTTACTTATAAAGTAGTTAACATAGGACAGATGAGGCTGGAGTAGAGATATTTGACGCGATCCTTACCGTGATAAACCCAATTGGTAACGGGTGCCACGGAGATGGCACAGTCGAAAACAGTTTCTTCTTTGATAAGAGCCAGAGCGCTAGCGTAACCGCCGTAGCCCCAACCCCAAATAACGATGTTGTCCCCGTTAACGAAAGGAAGATGATCTTTCAAGTACCTGAAAATTTGTTAGAAGTGAGCAATTGGTGTGAAGGAGAAGAAAGATGATGTCACCTACCTGGTCACGGTTATGTAATCTTCGACTTCTACAATTCCGAGCTGTCCGTATACTTGGTGTAATCTTTTGTTTCCTTGGAAACCGCTTCCTCTTCCATCAATCCAGACGTAGAGGAAATTTTTTTTGCTAGCGAGGTAAATGCCCCAATGCAGTTGAAATTTTTCGGAAACGGTCTGGCTTCCAGGACTTCCGTCTCTGACAAATTTATTTCCCGTTTTTAATATTTAAACACACGAATTTTATTCAATTTCTCTTGTTTTTTTTCAACGTAATAAATGCAGTTTTTCGTTAAAAACTAATGAAAAACTTCCTGTATATTTATTGATAGGGAATTCTCTTAGGGATATAAAAAAGAGATTTATGATAGATTTTCTTTATATGTAGGGTTTGCATGTTATTGGGTTATATATTAAAATATGATATATTTTTCGGTTAAAAAAGGAAATTTATTTTAATAAACTTACATATTTATTATCAGGGGATATTTAATAATTTCGTCATCACGTAGACCCGGAGGCAAAAACATTCTGACGTTAGCATCTGCATAAAAAAGATTATCCAACAAACGTGTATCCAAATTTCTATATTTATTTAAGAAAAATAGGCACAGAACTCACTATAATCATCCTTGAGCGGGACTTGAAAGGTTCTTATTTGAGGAAATGCCCTTTTCTTTAAAATATCCCTAAAATTGTCGTTTCTATCCAAAACCTTAACTGTCAAAAGATACTCTCTTTAACGTCTCACTCAATACTTTACGCTATTCAAAAGAGTATGATCTTACCTAAAAAATTATCGTAAGTTTGTCTGATCTCCGTCTTGGGTAAATCGGGGCCCAGACATTGTAATATATAATATTTACCATTAGGACTGAATTCGACGTCGTTATACAAACATTGCTTGTCTAGATTGCAGGTTAAGCACTCTTCTTTCCATCCTGCGCTTTCGTCCTCTCTAACACGTACTAAATGACGCTCTCCCGGTTTATTTAGCAATGTGGTGACAATATATCTACATTGAAAAGTCGATAATGAGTAGAAATCCAAAGCAGCTTTCAAGCCAGTAAAGTATCTTACACAGTGTTATTCTCTTCGTCATACGCCGCTATTCTAGTGACGTCGAATTTTCCGTGTGTCAAAAAATCCTTTCTTCCGTTCTAAAATTTAATAAATTGAAAGAAAAAGAAAGAAAAAAAAATTCACTTTTTCGACATTCTCCGGTCTGTTTTCTACGTTTCTAGAGTACCCACTTCTACGTTAATTTTTGCCACGTGCCAGAAATCTCCGGCTTCTCCGTCTGCCACTGGATGTCGAAGGAAGTAGTGCCTCTTATCGCTAGTAAATAAAGGGGCTTCGTTCGTTTCCACCCATCCTTCACCGGAACTGTCAACTTGCAATATCTGAAAAGGGAATAGAAACTCGAAACACATTACAAAAATTAAATTTCAGGTAATAGAAAAAAGCAGGAAGATCCTTACTTTTTTGCAAGACCAGTTACTTTTCTCGCTGCAGATGCTGATTATAGAAGTATTTTGCCATCTTGCTAACCAATTGATCGAGAGACTCTCGTTGTCTATCCATTTCACTGATGTAACGTAATATTCTCTGTGGAAAAATAAATAAATAAGTAAAAATAAATTATTTCTTTGATAAGAGTTTATTTTACATTCAAATGAATTTCTTATCTTCGGCCATAATGATAAAAATATACGAGAATCCAGTATAAAAATTATACACTAAGTTGAAAGAATGTCACTAATTAATCGTGTGATCGATTATAAATTAAATCGCTTTATTTTATATTTATAAAAGTATTGGATTTATTGAACTATGAAAAGGTCTATATAAAATATTAATATATAAATANTGCCTGATATACATGGGTTTTTGAGTGTGTGCAACTCGTAAACTAAGTTTTTATATTGTATAAATAAATATTTTATATATAGATGATATTATGGCATATAAACTCGCTCGCTTTACTCTAAAAGAATACTATATTTTCCGCATTAATTTACTAGATTATGAATGAATATTTCTTACAATTTTCTTATTTTTAATGAAATTTCTTTATTCGAGTATCGATTTTTGCTTATATAAAATGAATATCTCTTTATACTTATAGCTTTAAATTAGGCAAAATATTCATTATAAAAGAATTAAGCATAAAATCAGCATTAGTGAGAAGTTCGAACTCCCTACAGAATATACTCAATTATTTTTCCTAATTAAGCGATTTTCAGATAAGAATAAAGGCTTATTATTATTTCTAAATCGAGTAAAAACATTCATATTATTAATTAGGATAGTTAAAAATTATTTTATGTTATTTTAGTACACGAATATCTATCGAGTTATTGAGTCTATATGTGTAATTTATGGACCATTAATAACTTAAAATTAACAAGCATGTTATAAAAATGTCTTTTATAAGATATAAATTCTATGCAAATTACATAGCCCAAGGATCCGTTTATAAAAATAAAACGTTAATGATGTTAATCTGACCGTAGGATCTTTTAATAAAACAAAGTTTTACGCGTAGAAATTTGACATGGAAGGGAAGACTTATTTAATAAAATGAATCGGGCAACCGTTATGATAAAAAGGTAGCTGATGTATATAAAATATGGAATAAATAAGTACAAGTAATTCCAGTTAGAAACGTGGATCTGATACTCGTGCTATTAGTTTGATGATTTTGCGCGACGCCCCAAAACGTCACGTATCATTCACGGTTAGTAATTAATAAAATGATTATAAAAATGATTAATCTTCATTAAATGTTATTAAACCCGTCCTAACGGCACAAAAATAACCAATAGTTTTGATTTTTAAATTAAAAAAATCATTACAAAGATAGGAAAATTGCGTGGCATCAACCATCGTGTTTTTTTCCTTCCTTCCACTAAATTACAAAATTACTTGAAATACGCAAATATTCCATTTAACTGTTTTAATGATATTTGAAGGTATTATTATTATTATTTTCTTGGTTTTTTTTTTATTTTATTTTAAAAGTTTTAAGCTTTAAAACTGTATAAACAGACAAAGAATAAAGCGTTTTAATGAATCAATAACAAGAGAGAATTTCATTCATAATCGTGTTTAAGAAAAAAACAAGAATGAAAGGGAAATATTCTTTGTGACTTTTGTATATTTAAAGTTAATTTAATATCTTAAATAAACAAATATTTTTTAAAAACATCGACGCGTTATAACGTTTGAAAAAAAATATAGTCTATAAAAAGCGTCATTTATTTACAATGTTGCAAAAACTCTATTGTTATGTCACAGAGGAAGATCGTGTTAATTCTATGATAGATGCGCGTGTCGCCTACAAAATTGTTCAATATAAACAGATGTTGAACACATGAAACACAAACAACTCCTTCTGTCACCTTTTGTTAGAAGTTGACATCAAAGACAGGCCCCAAGGGCTCTTCGGGACAGGTGAGTGGGCGGGGTTTACACCCCGTGTCGGAGGAAGAGCGTATACGCCCACTTCTCTGTAATAGGGCGTGTAGTTCCACATCCGGGTCCAATCACCTGTGTCGTGGCATTCCTTCGCTGCTACCTGGAGACCAAAGGTGATTTGATTGGCGAGGAATTCTGCGGTGTCGGCGCTCGTTTCGATAATACCTCCGACGTCACGCTCGATTCTACGAAACGTGACGTCAAGCGCCGAAATTACACCAATAGGACTCTTTCTCGTCTAATTATTTACATTCCAATTTTTTTCTGCACAGGGATATTTTAGTGTCGGCCATTTTAGCATCGATTTAATAAGCGTAGATTAAAGCATTTAAATTTTAGTAATGAAAAAATTTATATTCGTTCGTAAGCATTCTAATGGACGAAGTAGTCGAACTCTTTAAAAAATTTCATACATTTTTTATTACTTAATGAAATGTAGAGTTGTATAAAACAAAATAGAAATTTAAATAGTGCTTTGTCTTTTAAAATGTCTAAAACAAAAAAAGAAATTTATAAAATGTCTTTCTTCGGAAGTTCAGAATTAGATATTAAGCAAAATTCATAATATATTTTGCCACATAACGAATTTTTCGGAATATTTTCTTATTATACCATCATTAAAGCTCACTTTTCATAACCCAAAAGTAACATAAGAATAATTTATATACGTTGATGAAGCGCAAACATAGAAATTGATTAACTGTTTACACAACAATAAAATAATAAAAACCGAGGATCTATCAACAATCCGAAGCTATGAAATGGCAGGCCTTAAATTGTACCACTGTTTTCTCTAGTAATTCGATAGGCAAGTGTCTTGTGTATCCATTGTACACATGCATTCATCACTGGCGAATTTGAAAAACTGGGTTTTGTAGTCAAATTCTGTTGGATCCTTGACTTTTTTCAACTCGTAATACAGAATATGCTGTTATAGAGTGAATGGTTATTTTCAAGTAAGCGTTAAGAAATAAGTAAATTTATGCACATGAAGATAATTTATGGTGTAAAAATTTATATTTTAAAAACTCGTTTAAGGATTATTCGTGACTCCATCAAGCAATGCAGAGAACAGACAACAATAAACCCATTATTAAATCCATTCTTGGATTAAGTTCTATCTGCATTATGTAGCTCCTTTGTATAAATAAATAACAAAAGGCTAAAGTAAAGTATCACGTGGTCCGAGTAGTGACAGCTCGGTGAATAATCGACTCTACTCTAAGATTAATAACTGGAAATATTATTCTGCTTGTCAAAACTTCCAACGTGGTAGAAATAATGATCTTTTTCTTTTTCCTTCTTTATTTCTATCTGTATCATATTGTGCGTGACGCTCTCTATATATAAAGCCTAAATATTAATTGAAGCCCGCTAAATCGTGTAATAATAATAGAAGTCGCCCGATAGGAGAACGTGTTAAGTGAAGAACTTAAATGTAGACATTTGAAGACCTCCCAAATACGATGTTTCTAAATCCCTTTTACAGGTCACGGATTATAAATTTCCGAGTTTCTCCATAGGGAATACATCGCTAGAAATGCTCGACTTAACAAAATCAACGTTGCTCTTCATGTTTGTTTGCTTTTTATCCAACTCGAATACGTGATTTTAATGCTTGACTTGCAATCTACAGGAACTCGAATGCGTTACGAAACGTATTTATCCCGATCGGTTCGTCTATTTCTTTAGGAAGGAAAGCTTTATAATTTGTGGGATTAGCATCTCTTTTATCCGTCAGTGACGCTGTTTATAGTATCAAAATCCATACTTCCTGGAAAATGGGGAGTTAGGTCGGAATTACAGTTAATCATGACCCAGGCGCCATGGCTTGTCAATGAAACGTTTTTGACCGGATCCTGTCATTACAGGAGACGTGCGGTCAGTCCACAAAGAAGACCGACTTCACTACTTGGGGAGTCATAACACAGGTACCGAACTCTATTAGTGGGAAAGCGTTTACGGGCCTTCCTGTATGCTCCTTTTCTAACTTGTGGTTAACTTCACCGGGCCTTAAATAAAGGTTACGTGTCACTGTTTGTGCCAGTTGAGGGATGCGAGTTCAAAACTAGGAAAATTAGCGTAATTAGCAGGCTTATTCCTCTTCCAAAACTTGCTGTGTGGGATGGCTTTCTTCTTTTCGTCCCCTGACAGCCTCTCGTGTTTACCGCTCTATGCCGTAAACAGAATGCATTGGGTGGCCAAATTATATTCGAACGTAAATTATTATTATTATAAATAGAAATAAAAATGCAATATTATATCGTAGTTTTTTTATAAATAAGAATTCATTGTCGTCAATGTGTAATCGTAAATTTCCAGTATAATCGGTATAGAGTGGCTTTCAAACGAGTAGTGCCATCTATCGATAAGAAAATTGTTATAATTAATTACAAATTCGGATAAGAGATGGCAGCATGAACGAATTTTTAAATATTTCAAATTTGACGCATTTATATATCAAATTATTTCATTGGTTAAAGTTTTAAGTGTTGCCATTACGACCAGAATTTTTTTTTCCTCCCAAATTTTTTTTTCTTTGGATCACGAATTCATATTAACATTCCCGACGGTGGTGAAAATATCACGGTAAAACTAACATCACCTCGATCCTATATAATAGGAGTTATACCGAAATGACAGTTTATTAGAAATAACTGCGTACGACTTTCTAACGACCAGAGATGAAATGACAGGCGAAACACCAAGATAAGGAAATGTGTGCACGATTTCCTTTCTGGCCTAACTCTAATAACAGACTAAACTATTATAAGGTGGACAGTCGGGGCGGTAAAGGGGAGAAGTTGTCATTTGACCCAACCTTCTGGGTATAGGTAATCCTTGTCTCTGAAAATTATATCCATGCCGCTACAAAATGATTGGTTACACCCGGATCTGAGTTCGGTTTGACGGTCTCCCCGTTTCTGCCTTTGTAATAAGTTTGTAACGGCATATCTTCGGAATATCCTCCTGTTTTCTTAATTAATATTAAGATTTGTTCGGCATCTATTATTTGGTCGTCGTAGCCGAGACTTAATGGTTTTGTATAGCTGATGGAATTTTGATTCCTTCCTCCTATGTCCCCGATACATTACGGGATTCACAGCTTTCTTAAGTACATCTGCACGAGAAACAGATCTAACTCTTCATCATATTTACCTTACTATCCTCAATTTTCTCCGCCTCTCGTTCCTATTTTTCTCTGTTCTATGTCCCATTACAATTTCTTTTTTTCTTACACTAAGCACTAGCGTTTCGACCTTTGTAGGGAGGGACTTATATCATCTTCCACACGTTTCTTTCCTTGACATTCCGGATTTCTCTCATCAATATTCTCACCAGAATGCTTTTCTCTCGAAAGCTTTTAAAGATTTTCTAGATTAATGTCTACAAATCCTATTTACGGACAATTGAATTGTCGACGAAGCACTTTCATTTCTATATAATGCATCCGGACAATTCCAAATTTTTGTCATTTAAGACTATCACACGAATCATCACAATCCGATAACTTATATATATAGGCCTATAGCCTATATATTTTTTTTTAACGTAAAATTTTCAAAATGAATCATCTCAAAGACATTAATAAAACATGTAATTTTTATTAATTTTTTCCAGAATATTTCAAACACGCATATTAAAAAAATTCTTCAAATAAATTCCGTATTCAACTTCACTTTTAATATTCTGTGAAATTTTTAAAGGAGATCTTTTGTTTATTTATTTTGAGCAGTTTTTTCTTCTTCTTTAAGGTTAAAAAGTTTCTCGATCGTTCCTTTTATATTTATTATGTGCTACGAAGTTTTTACTTTTTTGTCATCTTAAGGTTTTTTAACGCACTTTTCGAGTGCTTTTGATGATCTAAATGTGCCCGACATTTTAAAAGGACGAATAGAAAAAAGATTGTGCTGTAAACAATAGTTAGGAAAAAAGATAAGAGGAAAAGAATTTGCGTAATTATATATATATATATGTATGTATGTATGTATATAAATATATACACAAAATGTATAACGTCTTTTACCCTCTTACGTGACCAATCACTATTGCCGTTATAGATTAGTAAGATTTGTGTGAGATAAATAATAATAATGGAAAAATGCATAAAGTGTGAGTGGGTTGGTAAAGTAAGTTTTCGGTCACACATCTCGCCAGAAAACGGTGTGGTTTTCTTCTACAAAAACTTCCAATTTTTGTCGGTAGATGGCGACACCAACCACAGCGAGGAACATTTTATTGTTTTTTTTTATCTCTTCACTACCTGTTACTTTTGCTGCTAACGCTGCTGTCGATATGAAAACACTGCTGTAAAAATTCTTCCATAGTCCAATAGAAATGCTTTCTAACGTTTTTCAAATCGTGGTTTTCATCTGGATACAACTAGAGGGAGAAAAATAGTATAAGAAAACGGAAAGATATATAAATAATTTATTGACTTTTAGTATATTACCTGCGAACGGAAAGTTACTCCTTCCCTAGATAACGCTTTCATTAACATCATGGAATGTTGCAGATGAATGAATTCTAAATTTAAAAATAAATAAATAAATAAGGTTTTATATTAGTAACATTTAAAGAAATCAGATGGCGCCAGTGTAGAATCGACTTTTTTTTTTCTTTGTTGACGTGTATTGTGATTGATATTTAGGTTATCGGTTGCGTAACTATCGCATTTACAATTTTCGAATAGAAAGACGAAAAAAGAAAGGAATTTGAGCATACCATCGGCCGTGCCGTGAATTAAGAGGAACTTTTTTCCTTTAAACAGATGCGCCTTTCTGGAAATGTCAGTCTTTTCGTATCCAATAAGATTTCCGGGAGATTTCGGCATTTTCATGTATCTTTCCGCGTAGAATGCATCTGCAAAGCGACATTTACTTATAAAGTAGTTAACATAGGACAGATGAGGCTGGAGTAGAGATATTTGACGCGATCCTTACCGTGATAAACCCAATTGGTAACGGGTGCCACGGAGATGGCACAGTCGAAAACAGTTTCTTCTTTGATAAGAGCCAGAGCGCTAGCGTAACCGCCGTAGCCCCAACCCCAAATAACGATGTTGTCCCCGTTAACGAAAGGAAGATGATCTTTCAAGTACCTGAAAATTTGTTAGAAGTGAGCAATTGGTGTGAAGGAGAAGAAAGATGATGTCACCTACCTGGTCACGGTTATGTAATCTTCGACTTCTACAATTCCGAGCTGTCCGTATACTTGGTGTAATCTTTTGTTTCCTTGGAAACCGCTTCCTCTTCCATCAATCCAGACGTAGAGGAAATTTTTTTTGCTAGCGAGGTAAATGCCCCAATGCAGTTGAAATTTTTCGGAAACGGTCTGGCTTCCAGGACTTCCGTCTCTGACAAATTTATTTCCCGTTTTTAATATTTAAACACACGAATTTTATTCAATTTCTCTTGTTTTTTTTCAACGTAATAAATGCAGTTTTTCGTTAAAAACTAATGAAAAACTTCCTGTATATTTATTGATAGGGAATTCTCTTAGGGATATAAAAAAGAGATTTATGATAGATTTTCTTTATATGTAGGGTTTGCATGTTATTGGGTTATATATTAAAATATGATATATTTTTCGGTTAAAAAAGGAAATTTATTTTAATAAACTTACATATTTATTATCAGGGGATATTTAATAATTTCGTCATCACGTAGACCCGGAGGCAAAAACATTCTGACGTTAGCATCTGCATAAAAAAGATTATCCAACAAACGTGTATCCAAATTTCTATATTTATTTAAGAAAAATAGGCACAGAACTCACTATAATCATCCTTGAGCGGGACTTGAAAGGTTCTTATTTGAGGAAATGCCCTTTTCTTTAAAATATCCCTAAAATTGTCGTTTCTATCCAAAACCTTAACTGTCAAAAGATACTCTCTTTAACGTCTCACTCAATACTTTACGCTATTCAAAAGAGTATGATCTTACCTAAAAAATTATCGTAAGTTTGTCTGATCTCCGTCTTGGGTAAATCGGGGCCCAGACATTGTAATATATAATATTTACCATTAGGACTGAATTCGACGTCGTTATACAAACATTGCTTGTCTAGATTGCAGGTTAAGCACTCTTCTTTCCATCCTGCGCTTTCGTCCTCTCTAACACGTACTAAATGACGCTCTCCCGGTTTATTTAGCAATGTGGTGACAATATATCTACATTGAAAAGTCGATAATGAGTAGAAATCCAAAGCAGCTTTCAAGCCAGTAAAGTATCTTACACAGTGTTATTCTCTTCGTCATACGCCGCTATTCTAGTGACGTCGAATTTTCCGTGTGTCAAAAAATCCTTTCTTCCGTTCTAAAATTTAATAAATTGAAAGAAAAAGAAAGAAAAAAAAAATTCACTTTTTCGACATTCTCCGGTCTGTTTTCTACGTTTCTAGAGTACCCACTTCTACGTTAATTTTTGCCACGTGCCAGAAATCTCCGGCTTCTCCGTCTGCCACTGGATGTCGAAGGAAGTAGTGCCTCTTATCGCTAGTAAATAAAGGGGCTTCGTTCGTTTCCACCCATCCTTCACCGGAACTGTCAACTTGCAATATCTGAAAAGGGAATAGAAACTCGAAACACATTACAAAAATTAAATTTCAGGTAATAGAAAAAAGCAGGAAGATCCTTACTTTTTTGCAAGACCAGTTACTTTTCTCGCTGCAGATGCTGATTATAGAAGTATTTTGCCATCTTGCTAACCAATTGATCGAGAGACTCTCGTTGTCTATCCATTTCACTGATGTAACGTAATATTCTCTGTGGAAAAATAAATAAATAAGTAAAAATAAATTATTTCTTTGATAAGAGTTTATTTTACATTCAAACGAATTTCTTATCTTCGGCCATAATGATAAAAATATACGAGAATCCAGTATAAAAATTATACACTAAGTTGAAAGAATGTCACTAATTAATCGTGTGATCGATTATAAATTAAATCGCTTTATTTTATATTTATAAAAGTATTGGATTTATTGAACTATGAAAAGGTCTATATAAAATATTAATATATAAATATAAAAAAAATATATATAAAGAAATATGATTGTAACAGAAAAAAAGGGAGAAGAAAGGTGAGAGAGAGAGAGAGAGAGAGAGACTCTTTTGATTCTTCTTCCTTTTAATATGAAAAGAAAAAATGGAAGAAAACAAAAGAGAATAGAAGAATTTGAAATTTGAAAAGTCGAAAATCCACATAAAAATAGAATTCGAAGTATTGTTGTGCAGCCAACTTCCTTATTCCAATGCGAATATTTTGTGTAAATTGTCAAATATGTAAAATTACATATAAATATAAATATATATATATACTTTTTAATATAAAAATAAAACACTTACATATTGGAATATTCTTTTGGAGGTGTTATTTGTTTGGTAACGAATTTTTCCTTTCGTAAAAGAGCTACGAAGAGCGTAACTTTGGGAATTTTTGTGCCCGCCTAAAACGATTAATTTCCGATATAAAACTCGGTGTGACGAAACAATTAACGACTGACGTAACTCTCACCTTGGGATAACGGATTCCCGCTAAACTGGGATAGATATTATTTATATTTTCGAAGGATCCATACAGCGTATACTCGAAAGGCTTTATGAGAGTATCGTTGAAAGTAGCGTAACATAATTTGGTCCCGTCCTTTGACCACCAAAGGGCATTATTGCTATGAAAGATCTCGTCTATTTAAATAAAATGATAAATATTACGCTAAGGAAAGAATTTTAAGGCAAGAATTTTAAGGCAAAGATAACTTACGTTCGTACAACCAATCGGGAATTCCATTATATACAAGTCCATCGCTTTCGGTATTCGTTATCTGCCACGGTTTGCTTTGTTTTATTTTTTGCAAGTAAAAAATATTATTATTTTGTACATATATCTGGAAAAAATAGACAATTCTTATCTAATTAATTAACTGTGCGTGTATAAATTATACATAAAATACAATGGCTTACGAATTGATTTCCTTTTGGACCCCAAGAGACGAATTGCAATTTTTCGTTAAGAAAGGCAGAATTGTTTCCGTTGTTAGGGAATCTGTATTCGGTTCTGTAAATATAAATAGCGCAGAGTTAATGTCCCTCACCGTTTGACGTTTTAATTCTTCCTTCTTTAATGTTAGAAAATGCTTCTTTTCTAGGAGATTTAATGCTTCTAGAAACTCAGATGGTCGGTTAGTTTTTCCATGACACCATGTTTCTAAGATGTATGGACCGAGATGGGAGAGATTGGGAAAATGTGATGCGTTGCTTAGCAACTCCATCACATGTTCTCGGTGAATAGACTACGAGTATTGGGAAGAGAATTCGGAATACTCACTGGTTGATGAGATCATAAATGATATAGTTGGCCGTGTAGGAATATTTATAAACCTGTAAAGATATTTAGCGTGTTTTATAACCAAAAAATTTTTATTTTATCCTATGAAAAATAACAGCTACTAACCTTGGTAAATTGAGGAGTAAGGATAATGTATTTCTTATCGCTGGAGATTTTGTAGTGGAAGGCGTTGAGCCGTTTCTGTAAAGGAAAAAAAGGAAAAAAAGGAAGCAACTATCAGATTTATCTAGATAAGAGGATGTCAGGATTTTTACCCTTATAGATATACGACAAATTGCAAATAATGTGATATGAGTTACATCAAATGGGATATAAAATATTGGGTGCAACAAATCTATTTAAAGCATTCGTCAAAGTTTTCTATTTTATCTTCGTCTATATAAGATATATTTAAGTCTATCGTTTGGTTATGTATAAAAATATTTAATAAGAAATTTAAAAAATAAAACTTACAAAAGTAGGATTAGGCATCAAAATTGTCTTATCTCTCTTTTCAGCATTATAAACCACAAGATTACCATAAAAATCCCGAAATACCAGCTCTTCACCTGGAAGATTTTCAAACTTAAAGTATAAAAGAGAAAAAAATAAAATTTAATTGATGCAGCTCTTACCAGAAATCCATGTTCCATTGAAGTATCTTGGCTCTAAATCTCCACTGATGATCTCTTCTAAGGTAAAACGAGGATTTTTAACTCGAGTATTCTCAATTCCTGGAATTAAATAAGGAAGATAATTACCTGTATGTTTTCTATTTATATAAATATGTCAGATATGATGAGACAAAACAAGAATAGATAGACGTCATTCGTCTCTATATCTTGTTGACAGAGTCAATAAAAGGAGAAGATAACACTCTTGGCTTTTATCCATATCCATAAAATATTCATGTTTGTTGATTTTTGTCATGCTAAGTACTAAGAGAATTTTTATTCGATTAAAAATAATTAATCATCGTTAATGACATAAAAAATTAAGGTATTTATTAAGAATAAAACATTTTTCGTTTATAAATATTTATTATTCGTTAAGCCAATGTAAGGCATTATATTATATCAAATGATTATCTTCGAGGAAAGAAGAAAAAGAAAATAAAAAGAGAAAAAAGATAAAAAGAGAAGGGGAAAGAGAGAAGAATATTCCCTTTTTTAACGAGAAGTAAGATTAAAAGTTTTGTTAACATAAATCCAATGGGGACGGGGAACATTTTAAATTTAAATAAGCAAAAAAAAAAAAAAATTGTGTTGATATAAATGTAAGAAAAGCTTTTTCTTCTCCCTCTTTTTTTATTTTAAAATAGTTTCCTTTAAGAAAAAGCATCAGCACGAGATTCTGATAAAGATAAAATTTTCTTTTTCCGAATAAAGACAAGCAATTACAGTAGTTTTTCTTTATTTTATTATTATTTTTTTCTGTTTTCCTTCTTCGAATATTTAAGTATTTCTTCCTATTTAACAGTTCTTCCGGGAATATTGCGATTTTATCGTTGGGACGAAGTTCTCACGGATGATTCTCCGTTGAAGAAAAGAATTCACTCAATAAGAAAAGATTTTCCTTCTACAAATTGAACAGAAATACACCCTTGATTAGTTCCAAACATCATCGCAATTATTCCGAATATTTTATTTTAGTATGCTTTTTTTTTAATTGTTTAAATTTCTAGCGACGATTTCCAATCTTCTTACTTCATTAATTAATCTACAGTTAAAATTCTAATGGTAAAAAGATAAACCGGAGAAGGAATAAAAATTGTATGAGTAAATAACAAATAAGTTATATTTAATTTTCCATAATGCAAGTTGATTGAATGTAAACGTTGATGAGTTTAGTCAAGTTTAGATGGTTGAAAGAGCTAGGTTTATCTTCCAAGTTTCATATATATAATTGCGGAAAATGTTATAAATTAATTAATAGCGGATACTCATTTTACGTACAGCAATAACAATTACAGAGAGGATGGGAATAATTTAACATAAATAAGGCAATTTTAAATCGACAATATTTAAAATTCGGATAAAATAATTTAATTAGAGAATATTTGCTGATTAAACTCATTGGATGAAGTATAACGAACCATTTAATTCGAATAATTTCATAAAATATTAATTATAAATTAAGCTTCGTATTCTATTCCGGCTCTACAAAGCCTTTCAGTTTATTAATATATACATTTCTACTTGTAAAAGTTTATGTAGAATGTTGTTTCAATCATTACACGAGTTAAATTATTAAAATAAACTCTATTCCTTTCTTAAATTCTAAAAAAAAATCTTGTTTACTTCTAACAAGTAAGAAAATATAATTGATTATTAGCAACTCCTGTTATACAACTTTCCCTTTAAGCAACCAACTTCGGCAGAGAAGTCAGCATTACAGGAAAAAATCTTTTTCTAAATTTAATTATGAAAATCTCTAGATTTTTATTTTTAAAATGGAATTCTTATAATATCGTAGTGTATATGAATAGTACCTGGTGTAAGTAAGAAGATTGCTGTTACAATAAGCGAACAAACTATTGCAATAACAAGTAAAGCAATGCAGATTCCTCTCCAGTTACGCTGATCTGGATCGGCAGATACTAGTTCCTATAAAAAGAAAAAGAGTAATAAATAAAATAGATAAGAAAATTTTAATCATAGATTTACAATCCACTTAAAGATATATCCACAAATTAAATTTAAACGCGTGTTATAAAGCAAACCGAGGGTGTGTTATAGCTAATTACATGACAATATGTTACCTGTTCTAAGCTGATAAACAATGCGAAAAGCATCCTTGCGGTGAAATTAATTTAAACTGATAAGGAGAGATGGAGAGGGAGAGGAGGAAAAATATGATTTACAAAACGAAATATGAAATTTTTATTATTTAGATTTTATATCCAATATTTATTCGAGCAAATCACATAAACAAAGATGCAAAAGGTTCACTAAATAGAATTGATGTGGCAATACACACTCTCATCTGAGTCCATTAAAGAGAGAAGAGGAAAAATCATTTAAGAATATTTTCTACTAAAAAATATTGAAATTTCCAACAAAATTGTATTAAAATTTACATTTCTGCAAAGTTTTTTCCCTTTATTCCTTTAAAAGAATTCATTTAATTATATATAAATATATATATATTTTTTCCTCTCTGTATATTAAATTTTTCAATCTAAACTTTGTTATATTTGCAATAAACTAATTCCTCCAACTAATTTGTTGTTACGCCGCAATAATTTTCTTAATACCTATTTATAAATTAATTTTTAATATTTCAAAATAATAAAAATAACAATAATTTAAATATGAAAGAAGAAATAAAATTTTTTCTTAGAAGTTTTATTATTAATTTCGAACAAACAATTAATGTCTGTTGCACGAAACTAAGAAAAATAATTATATTCACTCCTACCTGATTATACCTGTCCACTTATAAAAGATAAATAGAAAATAATTAAAGAGTGATGTTTAAAAAAAAAGAAAAAAATATGAAATAAATTAACTTTCTGAATAAATAATTACATTATAATATATTTTTAGGGATTTTCAATTAGAAAGTAACATCAAAAGATTCTTAATGATGAAAACAAGAGTGTTGGCTGTTTTAGAATAGAATCATTTATTATTAGAAGTTGACAGATCAAAACTTCCTTTTTACAACTATTCTTTCATGAAGTAAAATTTTATTCATTAATTTCCTGATTTTTATCAAGTAAAATTGATAATTTAACTTTCAGGATATTGTTTAGCTTCTACAGTAAAAAAAAAAAGGAGAGGATCTATCTCTTCCATTTTCCAATTAAAGTTAAGCAGATAGCATTTCTTACGTGTAGGAAATCTCCGGATTGTAAATTTCATCTGTGACATTAATTTTTTTTTAGTAAATAAACGAGCTAAATTAAATTTAAAATATAAAACTTTTATACTTTTAAAATGACTGAGAAAATTATACAAATTCATTTATATGAGATTTTACTAGCTTCAGTTCTACCAACGATTGCCTAAAGCCTTTAAACAAGTCGATCCTATCCACTAATGATGCAGAAAATGAAGAAAACTCAGTTAATTGTCTTCCCTTTCCTCCACTTTGGTTATAATTGCAACATATATCCTCTCCAACTGCATTAGTAACATTGAAAAATCATTTAAATAACAAATCCATAAAGAAAAAAAAAAAAAAGAAAAATTGTTTTATTCTAAGAGATCAAAATTGAATTCTTTCTCACGCTTTTTCTGATTCTTCGGGGATAAATTTAGTAGAAAAAATAAATAAATTCTGCAAGAACTTATCATCGAGAAAATGCAATCTGAGCCTGAATAATAAGAAATTAAAGTGTATAGCTAAGCAAAAAAGTGAATTCTAAAGGATGCTTCTCTCAGGTAATTCTCTAGAGATATCACGTGATAGTCAAAGCGAATTCTCCCTTTTTACCACTCTTTTTTTTAATATTTTTTTTCTATTTTTATGACAGCGTATCAGAATATGGTTAGGGGATATCGAGTTTAAAATCCCTTTGGAATGTTTTCTGTCCATTTTTATAAAAAATACTCACAATGGATGGTTGGAAAATACCATTTTTTACATTTGCCCCCCGCAAAGAATCTTTCAAACTTTTAGAATTTTGTAGTTTAAATATTGAGTTGCTTCGGGTTGTTTATTTATAACGCAATACATACACTTAGGTACGAATATTTACAAGAAAGAATTTCTTATTTTATTTTAAAGATCTATTCCATTTAATCATTCATGTAAAGTTTAAACATAAAATTTATTATTTCTAATAATACAAAAGTCTTTTTCTATCATTTGTAAATAGAAAAGAGAGATATAATGTTTCAATTGGAAGATATTTGAGAATATTTATCAACTAACATATAATATATATTTTTTAAATTAATATTTTATACTTTAAATACATTTTATTCTCTTTTTAACTAAAGATTTATGTTTTTGGATAATTTAAAATATTATTTTTGAGATAAATATTAAATTCAGCTATACAACTTTTATAATTGTATATAAACAAGATCTGGGAAGTTTTATATTAAGAAAAATTGAAGGAAAATCGAGTGAAAATCTTGTTAATTAAAATTTAATTTTGAATTTATATAAAAGAGAGAATTAAAGTGAGATATTTCAACGTTTAAACGAGTAAAATAACATATTAAAAAGAAGTTTTACGGTCAGATTACTTGTTACAGCTGCAACACATTGGAAGAATGTGCACGGATTCGAAGGCATCTCTACTTCAATAAATTGAAAAATACTCGAGAAATTTTACATTAAACAAGCAAGATTTAAATGAAAAAATTCCCTCTCAATACTTAATAAAATCACATTTTATCAATTCTAAAACCTAATTAATTTACTTTAAAATCGTTTATTCCTTTTTCTACGTTTATTATTATTTTACAATATTTTCCATTTTATATACTAGAATCTTTGGAAAAAAATAAAATAAAATATATCCGAGCTACTAAACAATATTAATGCATTTTGGCAATCACCCAAGTAGAACAGTAAGAGCAACGGACTAGAATGTAGGAACCAAGGTCGAGGACCGTCGACGTAGATTATTTTTTTGAATTCCTTTCATAAAGCTAAAAAATCTTTTATGAAAAAACGAGATAAAGAGAGGAGAAAGGAGGGAAATTAACTCACCGACATCTCTTGTTTTTTCTCAGGATTGTTAACGGTGGAAGTCTTTCTATCGGTTGCCATCAATAGAGAGTTTATATATATAAAGGTGGAACCGGTGGACAATAGGACGACATAGCAATTCGCTTGTCGACCTCTCTCTCCCTCTACAGATTCTCTGCACTATCCACTTGGTGACGTGTACAAGTAACAGAACGGGAGAAGTTGAAGACGGCGGAGCAACTATCGATCGAAACTGCACAGACTGTAGCGACATTCTCATGCTATATCAATTTTAGAAATTATAAATTGTACACCGTCCTCACTTAAATGCTTATTAGCTAATTTATTACAAATGGCACCGTCTCCGACCGTGTCATGTCGAGAAATGAAGGACGGAGATGCGGCTATTTTATTGATTCAATTACGTTTCTTCTAATTACGCTTCCTTAATTTCCTCTTCTTAAAGTAAAGCCGAGTTGTACGTGACTCCGTTACGCGCTTAACTCACTTTACAACTTGTTTTCATTTAGTAAAACAAATAATTGCCATACGTGAAGATTTCTCCTTCTTAACAGGTTACGAGTGGGAAATTACTTTTCGTTTCTGGTAATGAACTTTCATAAATTCTTCTGCTTTACCTTTTTCTCTTACTTGTTAGTTTATACCGCTAGAAACATGTACCTGGTTGAAAAATCTCCAGAGAATTCCAGCAGTTTCCTATTCATTCGATATTACTTTGGAGAATTGACCCAATCCTGAGGGTGTAATAAAGTATAATTTATTAAATTTAATAGAGAAAAATCTCTTTTAAAAATTCTAAATATTCGGGGATTTATATCCCCGGACTTCGCTGTTTTCGCTTTAAATAGTAAGGTAAATACTAAACAATTTTCAAAGCCGGTAAGCAAAGAAATTGTTTACTTGTTTACATCAGAAGTTGCATAACAAAAACCCTTTTAGCAAACTCTGTATGCGGAGAGCTTCTCTAATATATTATATGACATAAAATACTGCAAACAGGATAAAAGAAGAGTAAATAATTACGATTCCATCAGCGTGTTGGTGTTTGTTCATTGACCTGCGAGTTTACCTGTACACAGGTACACATACTTCTACCTACCCCTGTATAAATGATGTCTGCCAATTTCCACTTATAATTGTTCTGCGACTAAGTCTGTATTATTTCATAATTATTTCATACGACACGATAATGATGATTTATATTACTCGATTCCACAGACGTTCTCTTCGATTACACACGTTTAAATTTACTTTCAGACCTAAGAATAATTCCACTTCGTGTTGTAGCAATTTCAATTAAGTCAATTAGAAACAAATCGAGTGGCCCATACTTCATAACTACAATGAATTACCATAATTACACCAGAAATTACCAAAAAGCCCGAATCGATTTCTGCCTTTAAACTCTGACGTCACCAAATACGTCGCAGGTAAAAATTTAATGAGTTGTTCTCGGTAAAATATGCGTAAGCCGACGATACCTGAGAGAATTTTAATGGTTTGTAAACGTATAGAACAACAAGATGAGGTTATCCAGCTTATGAAAGTATCAATAGAGTCGTAGGATGATAGAAAAAATATACCAGATGGAATGATATTGTTCGGATTGCACTCATCAAGCAGAAATGGTCGATAGCACCATGTGTAAATCTTCATCTGTACACAGCACCAAATTTCATAGCTCATCTCCTGTTATTCAATCGGCGATTTTCCTGATAAAATCAAATTTCGACTTAAAAATAAAAAGATACATCATCTTTCTTCGCCTTTACTCATTCATCGCTTCATTATTGATTTATCGAGATGAATGTAAAGTAAAGAATAGCCTCTTAAGGATCTTAATGTAAAAGTTAATTTTACCAACTTCTGTAACCGTTAATTTATTCAATTATTTATAATAGAAAGTCGTCATCCGGGATGCGGAAGAGCAAGAGCGTTTGACACACATACATAAGCCTGTATTTGGAAATTTGCATAAAAATTTTAAATCTCTGCTTTGTTACCATCGATCATTCTTGTCAAGTTCGTTATAAAAGTTTGTAGCTACAGTCTAGCACCAAAATCAATGGCGTAGCTCGTTTAGTTATAAAATATGTACTTTGTATATACACTTGTTTGTTCAATTAATTATCTACGCTCCAATCTATTCTTTTCGTTAATACTATATTAGAAAAATCAGCTGTAAATATATATTTTTTTAAATAAATATTTTCTTGCTAATGTATTTTACAACCAAATTATATATTTTTTCCTCGTTCGTATCCATAAAGTCGATGGTTACGCCAAATCGATGCGTATATTTATCGCGTTTATAACACTATTTATAATTTTACAGGAGTAAATCTCATTAAAATCCGATGGAAAACGTAACAAATTGGCAAACGTTACCAATTAAAATCCGGATCAATCATCATTTAGGGGTGGACGGGGCACAGTATACAGGGTTATTATATCTAAGAGGGAGATAGAATTAAAGCGGATACACGTCATAATCAGCGGGTTACGTCAGACCTCATCACTCTAAATCGAAATGTGGCATGACCGAAATCGTTACGTCATAACAAAAGACTTAATCATGCTCGACCTAATTACTTCGTGTAGTTTTACACTAAAGCGACTTTTATCCTATTACACGGCTTTAATAGGACTATTGCAACAAAAGTCCATTATTGAACCGTAACGGTGTTGATTACCCATTCCATATAATAACGTAATATTATAACGTATTCAAATTTTGTTACGTTTAAAGCCGATTTGATTCCTGTTAATGGTTTCCTTTCAGCATCCTTTTCTCCTCCCGATTGAATATTTAATTTTAAAATATGTTTGGAAAGAAAAAGGAAACGAGTTCAAGGAAAAAATTATTTTCTATGATCGATTCTTTCAATGTTACTATAGGAATAATGCTGTTAACCGACGGAAACGTTGATACAAGTTTATAAATCAATGATCTGTTTTCTATGCCCAACATATTGTACACTATTTTTTAAAGGGGGAGGAAAAATAAAAGAAAAAATCGATTATTTGTCAAACTATACAAATTATAAACAGCAGATTTTATTTTAAATATTTACATCTCAATAACGTGCCGAAATTCGTCCACAGAGATGTTTTCTTTATGAATAAATAATAACTGAAAAATAGTAATTTATCAATAAAACAAAATATCCTATTTTTTTTATTAAATATTTTTGAATTTATGAAACGTCTTAAAGAATATTGTTAAATATTAAATTTAAGAACTCTTCGCTAATTTATGTAACAGAGGATAAGACAGTAAATTTATTAAAACTTTATAAAATTATTTTTAATATATATTTNGGATATAGAAAAAAGCACGTTTGAATTTTCCTTCTCAAACATTTACTTTTTATAATAATAATTAATGTCTCTCTCTCTCTCTCTTTTTCTACTTAAATTAAAAATTAAAAATAGAAAAAATTATATATATATATGTATATATAGAAATCGAATTTTCTAATGTTAAACGATAGAAAAATATGAGAAGATGGAAAAATGTTTTCATTTTCTATTAAATAATCGTACGAAACTTGAGTAAATATTTAAATTTAATAATAATTAGAGTGGAAAATAAACTTAAGAAATTAATTTTAATCCATTCATTGTCATTAAAATATATAAAGAAATGAATTAATTAATTAATTAAAACACCAAAAATATAAGAAATTTAATTTATACAATATTTTAGTTCATTTGCTCTCAATTGTTTCCAGTTATGCAAAGAGAATTTAAAAATATTTATCTATTAAAATTTGAAAAATAAAATAAAAAAAATTCTTTTATGCATTTTTTAAAAGTCGAATTTCAATGAAACCATTTATCTTATACATGGTTTTTTTTTTAAATAAATAAAAATATTACGACATCTTTTAGATTATACAAAGAAAAAGTTATAAATTCTTTACATATTTTCTTTAAAAGATGCTTCTTAAATAGGAAGACGAAGAATAATTTAATTTTTCTTCTGTGACGAAACAAGGATGCCAGAAATTTTTATTTTGATCAATTATAACTTTAATTAGCGTATAAAATTCGAGAAAATATTGAATTTTAAGAGAATATTAAAGCAATTAGTCGAGGTGGGAAATAGCTGAATTTTAATTAACGACAGGAAATCATCTGTGGCAAAAGTCTTGGAAAATTCTAAGTTGAAACAGTTTTAAAGTAAAACGTCCCTCGAGCACTTATCTAGTGAATGGCATCAACACAGGGACTATTAAATTTTATCCCGGCAAGAGGGAAGACATTGTTTAAGCACTCTATCCCAACAAATTGCCTAGTTTAAGAATAAAGAGCTCGCTTAGAAGTATTTATGTGAAGATCACTATATGGCAATAGTACCCACGAGGCTCTTCGGATAACTTAAGAAGAAGTATTATTACTAAGAAAATTTACTAATAAATATATTATTTATGCGATTTGATACATTAAAGGTCAGTTAAGAGATCTTAATTATATTCAATATATACGTAATTATTATATTAATACTTCTCCACTTACAAAAGAAGAGTTACGTCGTAAAGTTGGTAAACACGACTCCGAAAGGCGAAAAAATGAAGATTTTATTTTAAAAATTCAAAATTAAGATATTTATTTATTAGTATTTTAACTTAAAATGAAAAAAAAAATTAGGAAAGAGCGATAAATGTCTGCAATTTATGGCTTTTGTAGTAACATCTGTTTATAGAAAGCGTTGAGAACGTTTAAGAATGGAAGGAGAAGAGGGGAGTGATACAGTTACATTTATTCAAGAACCCTTTGAATGATGTGGATGATCATTAACAGAAAAAAAAAATACTCAGATAACAAGTCACTTAAGTAAAACGTTAATTAAAAAGTTGGGCGAGAGAGAAGAATTGAGATTTTTTTTTAAATGCTAATATCTACGGAAAATTTTCAGATTTATGAAAAGATTAATTTCGATATACTTTTTTTTCTTATATAGAAAATTTAATTAAGTTTCATATATTCACTTCTAATGTGATTAAACTAATATAATTCCTACTAAATTATCCTAAATTTGAAATAAATCAAGTACATTTATATTAATTTTATTAGTCTGACGTTCCAAAATAATAATAGTAATAAAAAAAAGAAGTTTAAGCAATCGACTAAAATAAAGACTTAAGATATTTGTATTCCTTTTCTTCCACTCCTTAATACCGATATAATAATGCGCGTACGTTTGTCTGTCCATCGAAAGCAAACGTAATTGTTCATAAATTAAGTCCAAAATTAGGACAGAAAACTAAATTTAAAAGAAAGAGGATGAAAAAATTCGATTTTAATTTTTTTTAACATAGAAAAAAAAATTAGAATAAATAAATAAAAATTTTCTTAAACCGACGATGAATGAAAACTGAAAATCAGAATTCATTCCACTCCACAATTAATTATAGTAACAGCCCGTAACTATAGTAACTGTTACTCATCTATAGTAACAGTCGATACTCATTATTCATTGCAGGTAAGTTCAAGTATTGAGAAAAATTAATTTATTAATTTTTGATTTCGACTGTAATTTTCAGAAAATTATAGCTTTAAAAGCTATTTTGTTTACTACTTCGAAGAGAATAATTTAATGCGATTTGTATCGAACCTTGACGAATTGT